GAAAGTGAGTACTTTTGCCATCTCTGCACCCAGGCTAGTTATTTCCTACTTTCCCCTACTTTTTATAGATCCCATCCCTGTGTGGTTTAGCTTGATTTAACCCATGGTTCTATTTTGAGGCAACTGTTGTTTTAGATATGCCTGTTGTGTCCATTTTTAAACACTTAAGCAGATTATATTCTTCTTTCACTTCCAGGAATTTTAAAAAATGTAAATTGAACTAAAGTGCGTAGACTCAAATAAAGGTTTAATGGCTGATTGTTTTGGTCCATCAACAAAAAAACCCCACAAAAAAGCCACCAAAAATGTATTCCATTTCAGGGATCTTAATGTTTTAGATAAATCCTTAATGAGAAACCCTGAAAATACCTTAAAACTTTAGATAATAATGTCTCAAGGTTTGAACCAGAGCTATTATGTCAGTTCAGTATCTCAAATCATCTCTTATTTCATTACAAAGACAGAAGGAAGATGATGCAAAGTTTTAGTGGGGCTAGAAGGTCACCTGACAGGCGAACCTGTACAGGAGGCAGAATCAGACGGCTCGTATTTAGCATCGCCAATAAACCCCCCCGCCTTCTCAGCGGCCGACGTCCTGCTGCTACTTTTTCTTTACTTTGTTCCCTTTATCTCTCCAAACACCCCCTCTCATCCCATAATTGCCTTCGACGTTCAGCGGCCTCCCATCGGGCAGAGTGAAGTGATGGTAAATAAAAGGTGGCTCCGCCAGATGCTGGATGGAAACCCCTCTCTGATCTGGTGAAATTCTAAACTTTTAATCCCCTCTCTGTTGAAAGAGGGCTGATAGGAAGAGCCGCAGGGACAAAGACAAACATATGACTTCAGAGGACATTAAACTGACATTAAACTGTCTAATCCCGTCTGTAAAGCCTGTCTTTAACCTAAAGTCTAATTATCTAATCCTCCATTAGAATACTGACTGTAAACAGATCTAGTTGTTCACACAACATGAGCAACCTGGAGCCCAAACTCACACAAAGCAAAGTTTCCCTTCCAATCTCATGGGGGAGATCATTTTGCCAAAAGAAGGAGTAATGTGTCGCCGCGCAGCTGCTTGCCAGCGTCTGAGTGACTGTATTGTGTGTTGAAACAGTAGTCCACCTGTTGCAATAAGCGGGCCAAAAGTCCCTCACAGCGGCGCTCTCATGTTTGCTGAGTGAGGATAAATAAAGTGTGTAAGTGTGTGTGACGCTGTAAAAGCACATCCCCTGGACCACCTGGGATCCGCTGGCTGTCGCTCCTACTGGAACCCCGCCCGTTACGACCGAACGGCCGCCTTCCTCTTTCTTTCAGTTCCTCTTCCACTTTTTGTCTTCCTCAGCTCCTGCTTCATCCACTGATCATAACCGACAGACTTTCAGTAAAGTGTAACAGCAGAGCCTTTCTGTTGAGCCCCGGGTGTTTG